TCACTGTTGTGACAATTTGCATGAAAGGCATTTTGATATGAAGACACAAAATTTGGGTAATGTAGGAAAACCCTGAACTCTCCTCCTCCATGGGCACACCAGATCAACACCTACGTAGAGAGCAAATCTTCCTGAAGAAGTGAGAGCTGACTGAACAGCTTCTACACAACAATTGATAGCGAGACATATAGAGAATGACAGGAGAGATGGAGACATGGCAACCACGGGAATCCCACCCCAGGTGATGTTAAGTACAATGGGAATGGATAGTACTGAGGGACAAGGAGCAGATTTATTTTCCTTGGGGCGTGGAAAAAAAGCCATGGTTTAAAAGGATACCTAGAATTTAAAGGTCTCACCAGCCCTTGAGTGTCTACCAAATGGCGGGGGACAGGTGGAATGCTCTTTAGGATCAGAGGGACTGGTGAGTACCATTGTTTATGCTCCCCCTCCACCTTGATAACACAGACAAGAGTGCTGTGTCTGGGTGCCCTAGCCAGCCTGCCACTTTAGTGAGTCCGGGGCCCTTAGTCCATACGGGCCCCAGCTGGACCCCTAGGGTAGCCCCCCCTCACCCGCCCAAGCTTCAGCCACACCGCTAAGGTGGCCTTAACACAGCACACACCAGAACACCCCTGGACAGTACCCCTGGAGCTCCAGCTGTCTGGCCAAGGCAACACAGGGCCAAGCACCCTGGGAGACACCTGGCCTACGCCTGCTTCAGCTCCAAATGACTCATCAGGGCATCCTCTGCATAGAGCGCCCTGAGACCTCCTAGCACCTACCTACTTCAGCTCCAGCTATCCTGCTGTGTCCCTTCCCACCCACGTGGAGCGTTCTGGGATCTTCTGGCCCATGCTCACCTCAGCTCCAGCTGTCCTGCTAGGGTGCTCCCTCTTTGGAGCACCGAGTCTGTGCCTATCTCAGCTTCAGCCGTCCTGCCAGGCCTCGGCGTGGAACACCCTGAGAACACTCCCCCGCCCCGCCTCTGCCCCAGCCTGCACCTGCTTCAGCTTCAGTTGTCTGGCATCTCTGTGTAGAGTGCCCTGTGGATCCCCTCACCCAACGGGCCCCCCTCTCCCCCCGCCCCCCCCCCCCCCCCCCCCCAGTCTGTGCCTGCTATAGCTCAACCCAGCCAGTAAAAGCCACCAGGCACATGCAGTCTACCCAGGGACATTCCTATACAAGGCCATTCCTTTGAGACTGGAAGAAGTGCTTTTCCATTTAATTCATAGAAACAAACAAAGTCAACAAAATGAGGAGACCGAGGAATATGCCCCAAATGAAAGAAAAAGACAAAACTCCAGAAAAAGAACTAAATAAAATGAAGATAAGCAATGTAACTGAGAAAGAGTTTAAAGCGATGGTTATAAAGATACTCAATGAACTTGAGAGAAGGTACATGAACTCAGTGAAAACTTCAACAAGATAGAAAATCATTTTAAATGTGTTGGTCTAAATGCCCCAATCAAAAGACATAGGGTGGGGCACCTGGGTGGCTCAGTCAGTGAAGCTGCTCCCTTCGGCTCAGGTCATGATCCCAGGGTCCTGGGATCGAGTCCTGTATCGGGCTCCTTGCTCAGCGGGGATCCTGCTTCTCCCTCTGCCTGCTGCTTCCCGTACTTGTGCTCTCTCTCTGTCAAGTAAATAAATAAAATCTTAAAAAAAAGAAAGACCTAGGGTGACTGAAAGGACAAATACAAGACCTAACTATATGCTGCTGCCATATGCCTATGTCTCACTTCGGACCTAAAAACACGTATAGACGGAAAGGGAAGGGATGAAAAAGATATTCCATGCAAATGGAAGCAAACAAAGCTGGGGTATAGCAACACTGGTCTCAGACAAAATAGACTTTAAAACAAAGATTAACAAAAGGATATTGTGTAATAAAAGGATTAGTCCAACAAGAGGATATGATAATTGTAAACTTTTATGCACCCAACATAGGAGCACCTAAATATATAAAACAAATATTAATGGACATAAGGGAGAAATAATAATACAATAATAGTAGGGGGCTTTAACATCACACTCATACCAATGGGCAGAAAATTTTCTGAGTAAGGAAACAGTGGCTTTGAATGACGTATTAGACCAGAGGGACTTAACAGATATATACAAAACATTCCATCCCCAAACAGCAAAGTACACATTATTTTCCAGTGCACATGGAACTCTCGAGGACAGATCAGATGTTATGCCGCAAAACAAGTCTCAATAAATTTAAGAAGAGGGAAATCAAATCAAGCATCTTTTCTGACCACAATGATATGAACCTGGAAATCAATTATAAGAAAAAAAATGGAAAAAACACAAACATGTGGAGATTAAACAACATGCTACTAAACAATCAATGGGTCAATGAAGAAATCAAAGATGAAATAAAAAAATACATGGAGACAAATGAAAATGAAAACACAATAGTTCCAAATCTTTGGGACACAGTAAAAGTGGTTCTGAGAGGGAAGTTTATAGCAATATATATTGTTCTACATCAAATGGGATGCCTGGGTGGCTCAGTCAGTTAAGTATCTGACTCTTGATTTCGGCTCAGGTCATGATCTCAGGGTCATGAGATCGAGCCCTGCATCAGGCTCTATGCTGGGTGTGGAGCTTGCTTAAGATTCTCTCTTCCTCTCCTTTTGCTCCTCCCTTCTCTGCTTACGCTCATTCTCTCTTAAAAAAAAAAAACAACCAAGGAAAATCTGAAATAAATAATCTAACTGTACACCTAAAGGAACTAGAGAAAAAGGAAGAAAGAAAGCCCAAAGTTATTAGGAAAAAGGAAATAATAAAGACAGAGCAGAAATAAACGAAATAGAGACTAGAAGAACAGTCGAAAAGATCAATAAAATCAAGAGCTGGTTCATTGAAAAGATAAACAAAATTAATCATTCTTTAGCTTAGACTCATCAAAAAAAAAAACCAAAAGGGGCGCCTGGGTGGCTCAGATGGTTAAGCGTCTGCCTTCAGCTCAGGTCATGATCCCAGGGTCCTGGGATCGAGTGCCCCATCGGGCTCCCTGCTCCTTGGGAGCCTGCTTCTCCCTCTGCCTCTCTCTCTCTCTCTCTCTGTCTCTCATGAATAAATAAAGAAAATCTAAAAAAAAAAAAAAAACAAGAAAATCTAAAAAAAAAAAAACCAAAAAAAAAAACACCTGGGAACTAAAATAAAATCAGAAATGAGAGAGAAGTAACAGCTGACACAGCAGAAATACAAAAAATTGTAAGAGAATGCTACAGAAATATGTGCCAGCAAATTGGACAACCTAAAAGAAATGGCTAAACTCCTAGAAACAGTCTTCCCAAACTGATTCAGGAAGAAATAGAAAAATCTGAGTAGACTACTAACAAAACTGAATTGATAATCAAAAAACTCCCAACAAACGAAAGTCCAGGACCAGATAGCTTCACAGGTGAATGCTACCAAACATTTAAAGTTAATACTCACTCTTCTCAAACTATTCCAAAAAACAGAAGATGAAAGAAAGCTTCCAAATTCATTCTATGAGGCCTGCATTACCCTGATACCCAAACCAAACAAAGACACTACAAAAAAGAAAACTACAGGTCAATATCTCTCATGAATACAGATGCACAAATCCTCAACAGCATATTAGCAAGCCAAATCAAACAATACATTAAAGGGATCATTCACCATGAACAAGTGGAATTTATTCCAAGGATGTAAGGATGGTTCAAATCTGCAAAGCTTTTGACAAAAGTCAACATTCATTCATGATAAAAACTCGCAACAAAGTGGATTAAAGGGAACATACCTCAACATAATAAAGGACAAACACACAGCTAACATCATATTCAATGGTGAAAAACTGAAAGCTTTTCCTTTAAGATCAGGAAAGACAAGGGTGTCCGCTCTCACCACTTTTATTCAACATAGTCCTGGAAGTCCTAGCTGCACAATCAGATAAGAAAAAGAAATGAAACGCATCCATATTGTAAGGGAAGAAGTAAAAATTTCACTATAATGTGGTATAATATGCAATGGAATAGTAGTCATAAAAAAGAATGAGATCTTGCCATTTGCAACAACATGGATGGACCTAGAGTATATTATGCTAAGTGAAATAAGTCAGACAGAGAAAGACAAATACCATATGATTTTACTTATATGTGGAATTTAAAAAACAAACAAAAACAGCAGAAAATGGACTCATAATTACAGAGAACAAACTGGTGATTGCCAGAGAGGAGGGGTGTGGAGGGATGGGCGAAATAGGTGAAGGGGATTAAGAGGTACAAACTTCCAGTTATGAAATAAATAAGTCATGGAGAGGTGGCTGGCCAGCTCAGTCGGTAGAGCATGAGAATCTTGATCTTAGGGTTGTGAGTTTGAGCCCTACATTGGGTGTAGAGTTTACTTAAAAAAAAGATAATCTTTATAAACAAACAAACAAACAAACAAATAAATAAGTCAGTCCCAGAGATGAAAAGTACAGCATAGGGAATTTAGTCAATAGTATTGTAATGTTTTATGGTGACAGGTAGTGACTGCCCTTGTGATGAGCACTGAATAATGTACAGAATTGTCAAATCACTATATTGTGCTCCTAAAACTAATATAACATTGTATGTCAACTATACCTCAGTAATAAAAACTAAAAATAAATAAAGAAAGATAGTAAGATGATATGATAAGAAATCAGAGAGAATGGTGTTCACCGAAGAGATCAAGAGTCAGAACTCAGCAGAGGTTTCTACTTACTTGCTTGGTATCTTTGGTCTGGTTCTTTGCAAACTTTAAGCAGGAAGAGGACCAGTTTCTAGATGATGTGGACAGAAGAACACAGTCTATTAGTATTTAATAGATTTCCCACTAGTCCTTTATTATTATTATTTTTTCTAATTCTTTATTATTAACTTATATTTAAATAAGTAATACATTAATGCATATTCCTTATTATAAATTTAAAAGTTCCATTTGAATAAAGGCAAAACCTTCATTTCCCAATGATTTTTTTTTTTTTTAATCAACAGTGACTTCATCATATGGCAAGGAGTCTGGAGACAGCTTGGCTCCTGGAAGGGTTCAACCTTGTCATTAAGGACCAAAGTTCTTTTCATTTCTTCATGCTCCCATTCTTCTTGGTGTGGTGGCTTATTTCTCAAGCTCTATCCTTCATTTTGGCAAAATTGCTGCTGCAGATCCTGACATCACATGAAGAACTGAGAAGAGGTTATTTCCTTCTGTGAACCACCATACCTTTCTCCAAAATTCCCAGCAGAATTAGCCCCATTGACCCCAATTGTCTCTCGTGCCCAGGCATAAGTCACTCAAACAAGACTGATTTTTCTGGGACCGAAGAGGGGTCTGTCCTCCCTTGGATAATGTGTTGAAGGATAAAAAAATCTGGGATTTTGTTAGCAAGGGAAAAGCAATGTAAGGCAAACAAAATTCGCATTGCACATTTTATTTTCAGAGAAATTATACTCAAAATAAAAATTCAATATGAAATAAGTACAAAATCTTCACCACCCACAAATATAGGTATGACATTTAGTATCTGATCTACAATCCATTTATTCTTTATTCTTTCAACAAATATTCTTCAACCACTTGCTACCTGTCAGCCTCAGTTTTGGTACTAAAGTTAGAGAGATGAACAAGTTAGACATTTGTCTGTATTAGGAATGCTTCCAGCAGCAAGTAACATAATAGACAGTTCAGAAACTTAACCCATAGAGACATGTAATGTTTACCTAACAGAAATTGAGGACAGGCGGTCTGTAAGCCAACCCCCGTTAAAATGTTTCCAAGGATACAGGTTCTTTCTTCTCTGTGTCCTTAGCATGCTGGCTTTTATCTTTATTCTTGTCACCTCATTGCTCCATGGTTGCCATAGCTCCAAACATCTCATCTGATTTCAAATCAGAAAGAAGTGGTAAAGGGAGTTCTTTTCTTATTGTCATTTTTATAAGCACTGAAAAGCCCTCAGAAGCCTCCTAGCAGATTTCCAGGAAATCTCATTGGCAGAACCATGCCATGCTCAACAGCAAAGGAGTCTGGAATAGTAATTATCTCACAAAGTGCTGGCGGCTGTATGCATCATTGACCCCAATAAAATTGAGATTCTGTGTATAAGGACAGACATGGATGATGATTAGTCTATTACAGTGTCTTTCATAGTCTCCTTCTTCATGGAGTTAGTTCTCTGGCCATTTTGTGGAAAGGTAGAGATAATACATATTTTTTATACTCTAGTCTTCGAAATTATATCTGAGGAATTTACATAGTGTTTTTTGTATAGGATAATCTTGGGCACATTCAGATAGACATGCTATTCCCTATATAAGCTTGACAAGAACTGGGGGTTGCGATCTGTAGGGCTTCACTTGGTTTCATCTCGTGGCTCTAAGATGTTACAGAGAGGGACAGAAATGTAGAACCAGACACTTGTGTTAAATATTAGTGGACAGTGATTCCTGGGGTAAAAAGTGCCGTGAGCAGAGCATTCACTGGTTTCCATGTAGAACCACGCACATCTTATGCCATCATCAGCTTATTTGGCTGCTTCACTAGATAATGAGCTCCTTGAGGAAAGAAACTTTTATTTATTTCTGGATTCCCAGCCCTGCGGATGGTGTCTGGCACCTAGTAGGTACTGAGTGAAGGTTGGAGGTTAGAGCTTATCTTTCAGAAAGCAAAACGTGGGGAGCAAAGTTCGACCAGTGCATATGAAGGAGCTAAAACGTCAAGTGTTTAGAAAACTAATTTAAAAAATGAAAAACAGGCAAATGATAGAAACAGGTTAGGTGGCAACTAGAACTTAGGAGGAGTAATTTCTCTCCTTTATTTGTTTAGTTTTTTTCTTTCTCTCTGGGAGGAGCGGTGGAGGTCACGTGGTGTTTGTGCAAATCGCCTGGGTCTACATGGCACCGAAGTGGGGCTAAAGTGTGAATGAGGTGGAACACTCAGAAACAGCCTGTCAAAACAAGCACGATTCAAAGCAGCTGCCCTGTATAGTGTGTCATTTTTACAGCAATAAAAGCAGTAATGACGGACTTTATATTGCAGTCACAAGCTACCATTACTGTGTTAGATAAGTGAATTCATGCAGGTCTTCTAGAAGTCCAAGGGCGTGTTGCTGTTCTTTCTTTCTTTAAAACATTCAAAAATAAGATTTCTCCAATGGTGCTTTTTAGTGTTTGCTGTATGAGACTGTTATTGCAGTACAAATTTACATTTTATTGGGGATATTGCTCCATGATAATTCTCACAATACTCCTCTTTGGAAACGTCAGTAAAACTTTCCTTAAAGAGCAAGCCTTTGTGTTCACCTTCCATGCAAGGCATACATCGGCGTAAGAAGGAGGGGAGGACCTTGCATTGAACTGGGCCCTGTCCCGGGTCCAAGACTAACTACTAATCCTGGACCTTAGCCAAGGCATTAGCCTATCTGCTCTTTGGTTTCTACAACTGTGAAAGAGACCTGTTGTGAGAAGATGATCTCATGACTTTTTTCTAGCTCTAAAATTTTATGATTATAACACATTACATGCCTGCCTTTACAGGAACCGAAGAGGGTTAAGGATTAACACAGTCCTTCCCCTACACGTTAGGTTTATCACCTCATCTTTTGTAATATTAACTTAAAAATTATTATATTGTACATTTAAGCAAATATGGCAGCTATATAAAATAATAAGAAAACTAAATACAATTAACATTTGGTATGTTTATTTTAAGGTCCATTTCTACAAATACCCGATGTGCATATGCGTAACTGGAATCATACTGTATACAGAATTGTGTGCCTGCCTTTTTTTCCGCTGAATTTTATATTGTGAACATTTTCCCATCCCATTACAAATATCCTTCAAAAAAACAGTAGTTTTCTTAAAAAAATGTTTTATATTGCTACATATAACACAGATAAGAAATCTGTATAAATGAATTGTTATAAGGTAAGCATGGTTATAGCTGTCACCTCTCTCAGCCACCCCAGAAACTCTTCTAACAGAACCCTCCCCCTCCCTGCTGAAATTCATTGCCCTAATGACTTCTATGGTAACAATTACCTTATTTTTATTTATATTTTTACCACTGAGTGTATATCCCTAAATGCTATCATTTAGTGTTGCCTAAAGGTATAATTTTTAGTGAATATTTATTATTCCATCATATAAGGATGCATCAATACATGCACATACAGCTTATTGGACTATTTACTTCCTTTTCTGACAGCTGATTGTTTCATTTATATTTTTTGAATTGGTATCTATTCACATAATGCAAAATCTTAAAGGCTCAAAGGAATGCAGTGAAGAGGCTCCCTCTCACTTCCGTCCTCCAGCAATCTGGCTTTCTCTAGGACTAGTTGTCAGGAAGTTGTTTTTGAGGAAAAAGGAGCCTAAGAATGGTATTGATATTTTTTTCAGTTTTAATGTCCAAAATGAATCTAAGTAGGTACGAAAAATATAATTCTACTAAAGCATGAAAAATCCCTGTAATTGATTCTTTCATATGAAATTAACAGTTTCTGGAGTGGATATGTAGTTTCACTTTTAGGTTAAATGCGTAACATTGAATGTTGTGTGAATTGGAAGTGATATAACCACAGAAGGAAGTCTAGGATCAAATTAGATGTAGAGTGTTGTGGTGTTTTACTTTGCTTTATTGTAGAGGTGAGAGACCCAAGCGGCTTTGTCTCTTTGGCACAATGGGAAACTTGGTTTCTTATGTTTTGCTCTAGCAGATCAATAAATACTGTCATCATGCTAATTATGTTAATGCAAAAATATGTAATTCAGAATGAAGGAGCTAACTACTGCATAACTACCTAATCTGCCTGACCAGTACACAATTTTTATGCATTAGGGTTTTTTGGTTGCAAGAAATAAAAGCAGACTGCTTAACTTAAATAAAAAGAATTTCCTGGAACGATTCAGGTACTCACTGTTTGGCAGGAAGGGTGGAGAACCAGGCTTTGAAATGGACCGAGCCAATACAACTTAGGAGGTCCAGGAACTGGGGATGACAACAATGGTCTCAAATGGCATTAAATTGGTTTTGGATATTTTTTTAGATTCTGGTAGAAACTGTGTGCCTGATCATGGAACATCAGGGGACTATACAACTAGAACTGCCCATCATGGTATTATCAGATACAATGAGTGATAGGTTTGGGTAGATGTATCAACAGACTTATGGTCGAAATGAAATGGGATCCAGCCTGAACATGTCCAGAAGGTGTGGATAAATTACATGTACATGTATTTTAAACTCTTGCGTCACCTGCCATTGCTACAGTAATGGACCCCCTCAACTCACACCTGGGGCCTCATGGGGCGGAGGAGGAATGGGTGATCCCCTATGACCATGTGAGGGAAGAAGAGACAACTTAGGCTCAGTTTACACATGAATTCCCATCATACATTAATGCTAGCAGAAAATGGATTGCCACCACATTACAGCCCTACCCAGGGATGGAAAGACAGTCTTGAAAGGAAATTTCTCCCTTTGGGCAATGTTATGAGTAGTACATTGACTTAGTATGGAGAGAGAAAAATGTACTGAGCTGTAGATATATAGGGACTCTGGGGCAGGTGGGAATGGCTTGGCTGCTGTGTTGGGGTCATGGAAAAAGCAACACTGGAAGATTGTCGTGGTAAGTCATCCTCGTATTGGCTCTCTCATCTTTCTTTCCTCACTCGTCTGTTCTGTCGCTCCCTTTTCCCTGGGATTGCAGGGATACTAATAAAGGTAGTATGACATGAACTTTTGCCTCAGCCTTGAGGGGAACTAGATCTTGAAAAGTTCAGTGAAATATTTGTGGATAATTCAGACTCCCAAACCAAATATACATACTCTGCCCAAGCATGTGTATATCTAGTGACGGCTCAAAGTTTTGGGAGTTTATTAATTAACTTTATAATTAGTTTATTAATTAATAAGTCATTAATTAACTTTAATAAACTATAAAATAAAGATATTTCCACTATCTGAGAAAGAAAATGGGGGTGCCTGGGTGGCTCAGTAATCAAGCATCTGCCTTCGGCTCAGGTCATGATCCCAGGGTCCTGGGATCGAGCCCCGCATCGGGCTCCCTGCTCAGCGGGAAGCCTGCTTCTCCCTCTCCTGCTCCCCCTGCTTGTGTTCCCTCTCTCGCCATGTCTCTCTCTGTCAAATAAATAAATAAAATCTTAAAAAAAAAGAAAAAGAAAGAAAACGAAAAGAAGCTTGTCCAAATTATTTCTGATAACTTTCAAGTATACTCCTCTGAAAATCTCTCTAACTTAACCATTTATGAAATAATTGGACTAGCAATCAGAGATAGAAACCTGTCTATGAACAGACTGGATAAGAAAATTATCTCATCAACAAAACAAGAAGCTATCTCATTCTCCTTATCCTAAGAAAAATCAATATGTAATCAAAAAAAATTTTTTTTTTCTCAGAACTACTCCACAGGCTGAATTTGACTATTTCTCAATACTGTCAACTCTGCCAAAAACCTAAGCAAAGAATGTAATTACCTTTTAAAGTATTTCTCCCATTCTGCTCCTTGATGAGTCTGAAACTGTTAAACACCTGGCAACCGTTCTTCTCAGGATTTTCTTACTAAGAAGATAGAGAAGTGGGGCACCTAGCTGGCTCGGTTGGTAGAGCATGCAGTGCTTGATCTCAGATTGTGAGTTCAAGCCCCACACTGGGCATGGAACCTACTTTAAAAAAAAGAAAAAGAAGATAGGGAAGAACATAGTAACATCGTTCCTTGGCCTCACTTCATAATGCTTGGGTAGGGAGTAGATATTACTAAAGTGCAGAAAGCAAGTTACTAGTAGGAACAAGGAAGCAACAGAGAGTTGAAATGTGGGGTGAGGTGGGTGTTCTGGATAACATGGGACAGCAAAGAAGAGAAGGAAGGCCATTGTCTATGGTGATGACTGACCGGTTGGGGATGTGAAAGAGAAATGAAGCACAGCTGATCATATTATTTTGGGTGACATCATTTATACTTTTCACACTCAACATGATGTGTGACAAGCCACTTCCTCATCAAATCAGCTGATTGTGTCACCACTCAGCAATGGGGAGAAAACTCTTGTTAGTGAACGGACTGTATCATGAACCCTAGAGTTTTCCGAGACTTGTGACTCCACCTTGAATAAAATCTACTTAACTCCTCTTTTACTTCAGTGACTGAGGCCATCAAGCAAATGATAGGGAGCATCCTGGGTTTTCAGAACGGCTGCAAAGAATTATTTTCATTTAACCATGAGTTGAAAATAGGTAAGGCAATTTACAGAAAATGGTTAAGGATGGTGTATTGGGCATCTTAAATTTGTGACTGCCCAGCATTCATTTCCCCTTCTTAACACCATATGTCTTTTAGAGGAATTATAATTGTATTATTATTATTATTATACCATTATTATTAGTTCAGCCTGGTGGGATTGTACTCCAGGATGCTTACCCTTTCTTAACCAAAGCTTGAGTATATGATTAAAATTAGGTCAATCAAACACTTATCCCCTGGAATTTAAATTTTGGGTAGAAGATTAAAGACAGAGAAAATGGTAGGAGTTCATCTAATCTAGGATGAGGTCCTAGATTTTTGCCACCATGACACTATTCCTGTCATCCCCAGATCCTGGGCCAATAGGGATAGCTTGGCTCTGCACATTTCCCAGTCTGGTTCTTTAGCCTTACTACTGATAATGAAGCCTGATATCTTTCAAACAGTTTTCTTTGTATAAATTAACTGGAGCCTATTTCTGTTGTTTGCATCTATAGAACTCTGACTCATTCAGAAAGTGTACCTTAGCAATCAGGCAGGTTAAAGAAAAGTTGAATTTATTGCTCTAAGATAAGTGATATGAGACCATAGCCAGAAGTAATGCCATACTTAATTATTTAAACAACAATTTTTTAAAAGCCTTTAGAAAATATTTATTAATGATAATTACAATGATTTCATAGAGAAAAAACAGACTGGAAAAAATATGCAATGTTGAACAAAAAACTAGGAAATATATTTTTGATAATTATGGCAAAACTATGAAATAGATGATAATAGGTTTTTAAAAATGTCTGACATTGATTGATTGATTCATTGATTGCCATTGGCAGATTAGACCATAAGTCTTATTCTAGCTGGAGTTATTTCCTGATTACCACTTATTCCTCATTATTTAAATCCACAGACATTTTCTGGCTAGGTTTGTATTATTAGGTATAGAGGTATAAAATTTCAGGGATATGGAACTTGATTTGCCTCAAATCCTTCTAGAAGAGAGAATTGAAAAGTGAGTTTAGTCAGATGGGACTTAATAGGATCCAAAGTTCAGGATTTATTTATTTTTCCCTTTGAAGGTTCAGCAACACCGATGACTTGTGTGGGAAGAATGTCTTGATGTATCATATTAAAAAACAGTGAAGGCCTGATTGCTTGTCACATTCCATCTGTATCATTATTATTAAGGGTCATCAGGTATAATCCTCTTTATCAACAGACGTAATATATTTTATTACCTTTCTTTGTTTTCCATGCACTTTTTTTTTGGCAACTGAAATGAAAGCTTATTTGTATCCTATGTCTGAATTTCATTCTCACAGAAATTATGTAAAATAGAATAGAATGAGCCATAGAATATCAAATATCGTAACCTTTTTATTACAGAAGGACTTTGAGAATTATTGCCCTAATAGGTAACCAGTTAGCATAAAGAAAAGACTGAATGGAGTCTGATGGGACAATTCCACCAAGACTTAACTCTCTGCTTTCTCTTAGTAAAGCTAACACTTCTGCAAAGATACCTTTATAGAAGGAGAAAAGGTTCTGAAGTCTTTGCTCTCATCTTAAGGTGATAAGTCTCCCTTTATCTGATAAATCTGTGTGATTATGAATTTGTGACATAAACTGTACTCAGCATAGAAAATTTACAGTAATGAGGGGCACCTGGGTGGCTCAGTCGTTAAGCGTCTGCCTTCGGCTCAGGTCATGATCCCAGGGTCCTGGGATCGAGCCCCGCATCAGGCTCCCTGCTTAGCGGGAAGCCAGCTTCTCCCTCTCCCACTCCCCCTGCTTGTGTTCCCTCTCTTGCTGTGTCTCTCTCTGTCAAATAAATAAATAAAATCTTTTTTTAAAAGAAAATTTACAGTAATGTGTATTTATTTTTATTCATTTATGTGTGAGAGAGAGAGCACATGAGCATTGCAAGGGAGGGGTAGGGTCAGGCAGAGGGAGAGGGAGACTTAAGCAGACTCCGTGCTGAGTATGGAGTGGGATGCAGGGCTTGAGCTCACGACCCTGAAGTCACAACCTGAGCCGAAACAAAGAGTCAGACGCTTTAACCAACCTCACCACCCAGGCACCCCTCATAGTAATGTTTAGTTAGTGGTTTAATTTTCCATATAGCACCAAAATCTTCTTAAAAGATCCCTCAAATAAAAGGATCTTCCTTAAGAATGATCTTCTTTGAAATATGATCATACCACTACTTTACTATATCAGGAATGTGTTTAGGGGCAAGAGATAGAAAAATCTGACAATTACTTAAAAGAATAGCACTTTATTTTTCTCACATTAGACAAAGTCTGGCAGCAGTCTTTAGGGCTGTCCACGGACTCAATAAGGTCATCAAGGATACATCTTGTTTGTATTTTTTTACTCAGCCACACATAGCATATTTGCTTGTTGCTTCATAGTCTTAAAATAGCTGCCAAAGCTCTGTGCATCACTTCTACATTGAAGGCAAGAAGAATGAAGGGGTGGTGACGGTGAGCTCTCCTCTCCTTCTTTTAAAAAGAAGCAAAGCTCTTACAGAAGCCTTCTATCATATTCATTTGCCAGAATATAGTCTCACACCCACCCTAAAACCAATCACTGGTGAAGGAGTATAGCATTATGGTGATTGGTTAAAACCAACTCTTACTCATGTCATCAG